AGAGAACGAGATGTGTGTGGGAGGGCCAGCAAGCGAGACAGAGAGCAGAAAACAAAGAGTGAGAAAGGGAGAGCAAGAAGGCAACTTCTGAGGCGCCTTCAACGTTGTTACCTAAGGTATCTAGAAGTAGGTCTCAGGAGCCCAAAATGACTTTTAAGTCAACTCAAATTCACAAGGTTCTAGAAGTAAGTCTCAAGAGCCCAAGATTGGTACCACGGAGCGAGAGGTGGAGTCCCACACGCAGGTGGTGCGGATCTCGATCCCTGGCAGCTACTCAACCATTAAAAAATTGCCAAAACATTGAGGCCTGGGCTTTAAGGTGGTGCATACATTGGAGCGAGAGGTGGAGTCCCACACGCAGGTGGTGCGGATCTCAATCCCTGGCAGCAGCTCAAACTCTGGTTGTACCAGCATGGTCTGCTGTGATGCATAGTCACTGGCACAGAGGAAGGTGAAAGAAGGAGGGGCAGCGGAGGGGGTAAGGGCTTGCGTCGACTCTAAGCTCGAACTCTGGTTGTACCGGCATGGTCTGCTGCGATGCATAGTCACTGCCACCCACACATGGTTTTAGGGAAGGGGAGAAAGGAGGTGGGTTCATGGGAAGAGGAGAAATCAGGGAGAGGGGAAAGTAGGGAGGGAGGGAGGAAGGTTAAAGTGAGGGAGAGTGGCAATGGGCTGATGACATGCGAAACGGAGAGCAGGGGGCGCAAAGGGGTGTTTGGGGGGAGGGGAGGGAGGGTAGATGGGATGAAGGCGGAAAAGCAGGAAGGTTGAAGGGCTGGTATGTTAGTCAAGACGGTTCGAGATGGTTGATGATTGGGTGAGGGAGGAAGGTTAAAGGAGGGCAAAGCTCACCAGTAGTCAATGCGGTTAATGGTTGTGACCGTTCTGCCCCCTCTTAGCACTTCCATGTACATCTGCAGAGAGATGGGAGGAAACCCGTACGGAGATGGGAATCACAGCAGGGAAGGATGAGATGGCACGAGACGAGGTGACTTTTTAGTCGACTCAAAACGAGGTAACTTTTGAGTCGACTCAAAACGAGGTGACTTTTGACTTTTGAGTCAACTCAAAACAAGGTGAGTTTTGACTTTTGAGTCGACTCAAAAGTCATTTCCATGTACATCTGCAGAGAGATGGGAGGAAATCCAAAAGGAGATGGGGATCACAGCAGGGAAGGATGAGATGGCAAGAGACGGTGTGCGAGGGTTCCTCTAAGCGCTTCCTCTGTCAAGGCGTGATGTGAAGGCATGAAGTGAAGTGTCCCACTCACCTGATGCTTCATCACTTCACGTGCTGGCAGAGAGCCAACACAACAAGCTCACAAAATATTCTGAAAATATATATAAAAACACACACACACACACACACACACACACACACACACACACACACACACACACACACACACACACACAGAAAACTGGAAGCTTGTCCAAGTGAGCACTATGTTTGAGGCGCCTAAAAAATCGCCTCATGACTCGCGGTTTTTAATTTGAGGCGCCTCAGAAAACTGGAAGCTTGTCCAATTGAGCATCCCATTGAAGTGCATTATGTGTGGCTATTACCGTTTTTACAGCAGAAATAAGCGCGAAGCGGTTAACTAAGCACGGCGCTTAAAGAATCCCACCTGGCGTCCAATGTTATGCTCGTGGAGGATCGACCCAATGATCTTCACACTCTCATTCTTGAACACGGCAGCAGTGCACTCGCCCGGGCAGGAATTCGAATGCGTCCATGAGGGCATGCCGGGCGGCATGCGGATGAGCCTGCTGTGGTCTACTAGGCCCGTCTTCATTATGTGCGCGTCTCTGAAACCCGCTGGCGATGCCGCCAGTTTTAGGTACACCCCTGAGCTGTCGACTATGTCGGTGTGGCCCTCGGGATTCGCGTAATGCATCTGAGGGGTGGGCCAGGAAGGGGGGCAGGAAGAGGGGGTTAGGGAGGAGGGGAGGGGGAAGAGGGTTTTTGGTACACCCCGGAGCTGTCGGCTATGTCGGTGCGACCCTCGGGATTCGCATAGTGCATCTGAGAGGTGGGCAGGGAAGGGGGCGTCGGAAGAGGGGGTTAAGGAGGAGGGGGGAGGGGGCTTGAGGTACATCCCCTGTAGCTGTCGACTATGTCGGTGCAACCCTCGGGATTTGCATAGTGCACCTGAGGAATTGGCGTGGAGGGGAGGGGAGGGGAGGGGAGGGGAGGGGAGGGGAGGGGAGGGGAGGGGAAGGAGTGTTGGGGCGATGGTGTTGATCTCGAGAGTATTGGTGTTTGTGTGGAGGGGAGGAGACAGAGGGAGAGGAGGAGAAGGGATTAACAAGAGACATCGGAGTAAATTGTGGAGTGACAGGAGTGGGGTGACATCGTTCAGCACCGCACTGGACTACATTGAACCCCATTGAACCACACCGAACCGCACTGGACGACACGAAACCACACTGTACCGCACGGAAATGCTTAGAACCGCACTGCACCCACCTCCAGCACGAACTTGGTGAAGTAGCCCGGGCCGATGGGGTAGCCGACGGTTGGAGGGGGGGGAAGGTGCTGGGGCGGCCTCCCCATGCCCACACTGCCACGAACGTGTTGCAGGGGGGCTGCAATAAACTGCAATGAACCGCACTGAACCACATGGGACTGCGCTAAATCGCACTGCACCCAGCTCTAGCACGAATTCGGTGAAGTAGCCCAGGCCGATGGGATAGCCGATGTTGGGGGCGAAGGTGAAGGGGCGGTCTCCCCACGCCCACATAGCCACGAACGTGCTGCAAGGTGCCCTTCCCACACGGTCAAATATCATTCCTGCTGGCAGCAGGTTTGGGTATTCTTCTCTGTTGGGACGGGATGGGTGGGAATGTGTTAGGAGAGCTAAGTGTTGAACAAGAAGGAATGAACTAACAGTGAAATGAGTACAAGTATGAAAACCTAGGAATGTGTACCCCCTATAGGCTAACCCACTGTAGCCTAAACAACTACAACAACATATATAATGTTTGACACACCCCCATAGGCGAAGTGGGGGAGAACTAGGGGTCACAAGACCAGTCAAGTAAAGCAAAGCAAAGCAAAGCAAGCTCAGGGTGGATCACAACGTCACCACACAATCCGAGCACAAGTGCAAGGCCACAAGGCCAGTTCACATGCAGGAGTACATATATATATATAAGACTAAACAAGCAAGAGCAGTGATATATATATGTAACAGTACAAAGAGGGTCAAGAGGAGAGCAAGTGAGGCAAGACAGACACAAGACCCAGCTGGGTACAGCAGCGCTGATGATCACAAGGCGCAAGTGCCTTGGTGAAGACATCAGCAGTGTTGGCCTCAGAGGCCACGTACGCAAGTCGCAACTGACCACGCTGCTGTAGCTCACGAGCAAGGAAGTAGCGGAGAGCAATGTGTCAGAACATTACAGCTTACTTATTTGTGTAGGCTATAGTGGGGTATCCCATAGGGGGTACAACCCAATTAGGGTTTCCTATTTGTACTCAGTTCGTTCATAGTCATTTCATTCTCGTTCTATCTTTCTCATGGTATCGAGCAGGTTCCCCTGTGGGAACTGTACTTAGGGCCCACCACTACTTCGAACTTTTTTTTCTGCCCGGAGCGCGCTTCGGGCTCTCTCTTACTTCTGTCGATCGGCCCTTAGCCGCCCGCGCGCCGCCTGCTCAGGCCTCACGCCACCACCGCGCCGCCCGTCCAGGCCCCGTGTAGCCCGCGTGCCGCCCCTAGCAGCCCGCGCGCCGCTTGCCAGGCCCCAGGCCGCCCACGCGCCGTCCGCGCGCCGCCCTTAGCCGCCCGCGCGCCACCCGCTAGGCCTCAGGCCGCCCACGCGCCGTCCTTAACCGCTCGTGAGCCACCCGTGTGCCGCCCTTAGCCGCCTGAAGCGCCGCCCGTGCACCGCCCGTGAGCCGCCCGTGAGCCACCCGTCAGCCACCCGTGCGCCGCCCGTGAGCCGCCCGTGAGCCACCCGTCAGCCGCCCGTGAGCCGCCTGTGAGCCGCCCGTGAGCCGTCCGTCCCGGCCCCGAGCGACCTGTGAACCGCCCGTGAGCCGCCTGTGCGCCGCCCGTGAGCCGCCTGTCCCGGCCCCGAGCCACCCGTGAGCCGCCCACCCTGGTCCAGCTCCCAGCCGCCCTCGCGCCACGCTGTCCCGGCCCTTCGACGCCCGAGCCGCCCGTGCCACCCGCGTCACCCCAGCCGCCCGAGCCGCCTACGCAGCTGACGAGCCGAGCCGCCCGAGCCACCTTTGCCACCCGAGCCGCCCGAGCAGCCTGAGGAGCCGAGCTGCTGGTCCTTTGTGGCTGCTGTTGCTACTGGGCCGGCAGAGCTGCTGTGTTGCCGTGCTGCTGTACTGCTGAGCTGCCCGACCCGTCCTGTCTGGTGAGCACAGCTCCACTGCTACTGCGTGCCCCTTCCCACACTGCTTGCACTGCTAGTCTATCGTCATGGCTACCCCTAGTGTCCTAGCTTTTGACGCTGAGGGTCGCGCCGTTGACTTTGAGGTCTAGCTCGACGACCTGCAGCTGTTTTTACAGTGCGATAGGGCAGACGGTCTTTCTCTCTTTGACCTCACCTCTGGAGCTGTCCCTGCCTCTGCTGCTGATGCTGACGCCACTGTTCGCTCACAGTGGGCCACGCGCGATGCTGCTGCACGTCTTGCTGTGCGTCGCCACCTGCCTACTGCTGAGCGCGCGCACTTTAGCCAGTACAAGAGTGCCCAGACCTTGTACGACGCTGTAGTTGCGCGCTACTCCTCCCCTGCCACTGCTGCACTGAGCCGCCTCATGCTCCCTTCCTCTTCCCTGACCTTGCCGCCTTTCCCACTATCGCTGATCTCATTACGCACCTCCGCACTAGTGACACTCGCTACCGCGCTGCGCTTCCTGCTGACTTCTGCGCCAAGAACCCCCCCCCCATGTACATCACTCTCTACTTTTTAGTCACTCGCCTCCCTGAATCCCTTCGTGTAGTCCGGGACCACTTCCTCGCGGTCTGTCCCACCACCCTCACAGTCGACAGCCTCGAGAAGGCCCTCCTAGCGGGGGAGAAGAGCATAGTCGCTGTAGGAGCCTCTCGGGGTGACCCCCGCGCCCCCATCTTTGAGGGGTGTTCTCCTTCCCCTCTCCTGCCCTCTGTCGCCTCTACCGCTGCGGCCGACCTCGTTGGTCTTGAGTCGGTCGGTGCGGCGTCTGCCCCCAGCGGGAGACGCCGCTCTGGCAAGGGCAAGGGGGGCAAGGGAGCGGGTGGGGCCAGCGGGGGCGGTGGAGGTGGAGGTGGAGGCGGCGGGGGGAGTGGGGGTGGCGGTGGAGGTGGTGGCGGGGGTGGGGGTGCTAGTGGCGGCAGTGGAGGCGGGGGTAGCGGCGGCGGTGGCGGTGGGAGCGGAGGTAGCGGAGGCGGCGGCGGTGGAGGCGGAGGCGGGGGCGGTGGAGGCGGAGGCGGGGGTGGCGGTGGTGGAGGTGGTCGGAGTGGCACTTCGCAGCGGAGCAGCACTGGGGGTGGCCAGCGCCAGCAGCAGCAGCAGCAGCAGCAGCAGCGTTCTCGTGACGTCCCCACCCCTCAGCAGCTCCGTGAGTGGTACACGCAGCGTCAGCGTGGTGGGGGTTTTTGTCCCTGCACCTACGTTCTTCGCACTGGCGACCGCGCTGGAGAGCAGTGTGGGGGTACCCACACCGCCCAGCGCTGCTTTGGCCGCCTGACGGACGCTTGGCGCCAGCAGTTCCCGGAGGCCGCGGAGATCCCCCGCTGGGGAGAGCTGTCTAGGGCTGGTGTAGCTATCTTTGATCTTGACTTCGATGCTATCCTTGCTGCCATGTATGCTGTGACCGTTAGTGATGAGGGTGACTGTTACCGGTGTTTCCCGCCCGACCCGGGCATTGGTACTGCTGCTCTAGGTACCAGCGAGGCTTCTGCTCTAGGTGCCAGTGCATCGGTGCTCTCAAGTACTGGTGAGGCTGCTCTCTCAGGTACTAGTGAGTCTGCGCTCTCAGGTACTGTGTCGGCTTCGGCCTCCCACACCTTCACCCTTCACTCTGGAGCGTCTCGCTCCTTCTTTCGGGACCGCACCACACTCACGCCGCTTAGTCGGCCGGTTGCGGTGTCCCTGGCTGACCCCTCTGGGGGTCCTGTCCTGTCTCGCTTCTCCACAGTCCTCCCGTGTCCGGCGGCTCCCTCTGGCACCCTGTCTGGTCTCTACCTCCCCTCGTTCTCTACGAACTTGGTGAGTGGTGCTGACCTACAGGATGCGGGAGTCCACCAGTTCACCCCTGCTCGTCAGCGAGTGACGCACTGCACAGAGGCTAGCACAGGTCGTCACCTGGCTACGTTTACACGTCAGCCAGGGTCGAGCCTGTACACACTGACCACTGCTTCTCCTCCAGTTCCCGAGTCTGGTAGGGTCCCTTCGTCAGGTCAGGTGTTCGCTGCAGCGTCCAGGTCTGGTCCTGAGTCTGCCCCCTGTTCGTGTCGTCGCCTGTCTCACAAGACTCTCCTCTGGCACCACCGCCTGGGTCACCCCTCTCTGCTTCGGCTCAGAGGCATGGCCTCTCGTCTTCTTGTGTCTGGCCTTCCCCGGTCCCTCCCTCCCTTTCCTCAGGGCCCTGGCCCTACTTGTGTCCCCTGTGTCGAGGGGCGCCAGCGTGCTGCCCCTCACTCCTCCCAGTTTCCTCCGACAGAGGTTCCGTTGCAGACGCTTCACATGAACGTGTGGGGCCCTGCCCGCGTCCGTGGACTCAGTCACGAGCGCTACTTCCTGTTGGTGGTTGACGACTACTCGCGTTACACCATAGTCTTCCCCTTGCGCAGCAAGGCTGATGTCACTGAGGTGCTGATCGACTGGATTCGCGCAACTCGTCTCCAGCTCAGGCAGAGCTTTGGCTCGGACTTTCGTGTGTTGCGTCTGCACTCGGACAGAGGCGGAGAGTTCTCCTCTGGCCTTCTGCGTGCCTACTGTCGTGCGCGAGGCATCCGTCAGACCTTCACGCTTCCGGACTCACCGCAACAAAATGGGATTGCAGAGCGCCGCATTGGCATGGTCATGGACGTCGCTCATACGTCTATGATGCATGCGGCTGCTCCCCATTTTCTGTGGCCGTTTGCGGTCAGGTACGCGGCGCATCAGATCAACCTCCACCCCAGGGTCTTCAGGCCAGAGACCTCCCCAGCCCTGCTGTGGACGGGGAAGGTTGGCGATGCGTCGGCGTTCCGGGTCTGGGGACCTCGGGCGTTTGTCCCCGACGTGTCTGCGGACAAGCTGTCCCCTCGCGCTGCTCCCTGCGTCTTCCTGGGGTTCCCCCCCGACGCCCCTGGGTGGCAGTTCTACCACCCCACCTCTCGCCGTGTTCTATCCTCCCAGGACGTCACGTTCGACGAGTTGGTACCCTACTGCCGCCTCTTCCCCTACCGCACTCCGTCCCTCCCCCCGCCCCCGCTCTTCTTGGAACCAGGTCCCCCCCGGTAGACCCCCTCCCCCCTCAGGGTCCTGCCCCTTCAGGTGTGTCCCAGGTAGACGCGGTCGAGCCTGTCGAGGTCACTGGTGACTCTGGTGCTGCTGGGGGTGCTGAGCCTAGGGGTGCTATGACTGGGGGTGCTGTGCCTGGGGGTGCTGAGCCTGGGGGTGCGGAGCTTGGGGGTGCGGAGTCTGGGGGTGCTGAGCCTGGGGGTGCTGAGTCTGGGGGTGCTGAGCCTGGGGGTGCTGAGCCTGGAGGTGCTGAGTCTGGGGGTGCTGAGCCTGGAGGTGCTTTGCCTGGGGGTCCTGAGCCTGGAGGTTCTTCGCCCGGAGGTTCTCCGGGTGCTTCGTCTCGCCGAGAGCCACTCTCCCCACAGGAGCTGCGTGAGTGGTTTGCCCGGCGCTGGAGGCGTGCTGCTGGTGCTGGAGGCTCCTCGGCTACTGAGGGTGCTGCTACCGCGCGTCCCGGAGGTGCTCGTACTGGGAGTACTGGAGCTGCTGGGCCTGCGGAATCTGCTGGAGCTGGTGCTGCTGAGCGTGTTGGCGCTGAGACTACCGCTGGCGGTCTGACTGGTGGTGCTTCTGGTGCTGCTGGAGGTTCTGAGCCTACTGGAGGTGCTGCTGGGGGTTCTGGAGCTACTGGAGGTGCTGCTGGAGGTGCTGCTGGAGGTGCTGCTGGAGGTGCTGCTGGAGGTGCTGCTGGAGGTGCTGCTGGAGGTGCTGCTAGAGCGGGTACTCCTGCTGGGGGTACTGGTACTGTCCCTGCTGTTTCTGGCGTCGCCTCGCGGCCCCGACCGTACTTCGTTCCGCTCCTGCAGCAGGTTCTTGGTCTTCCTCCTCCTGGTCCTCCTCCTCCTCCCTTAGAGGGTCCACAGCCTGTCTCGTCACAGTCACAGCTACAGCCTGCCTCCCCTTTGCCTGCTCCTTTTCCCTACGCTGGTCCGACTGGGGGTCTTACTGAGCGTCGTGAGCCTGCGTCTCGTCCTGCGTCGCCTGTTCGTGCTGCGCGCACTAGTGGTCGCGGTTCGCGTCAGCGTCCTCCTCCTGTCCCTTGCACTCACCGGATGTCTCTGCGTCCATCTACTGCTCCTCTGCGTGCCCCTTTGCCTTCTCCTCCTGCTTCCTCTCTTCCTGCTCTTGCCGACCCGGAGTCGGACTCTCTTCGTGGTGCCAGTCCTACTGTCACGCGTCTCCTTGCTACTGTTGTCACTGACCCTTCTTTCGAGTCTTCTACTGCGTCTGCCCTTGTCACTGAGCTCGTCGACTTTGCTGCGCGCTGTCGTCTAGACTACGCTGCTAGTCTTGTCGCTGAGTCTGAGTCTGCCTGTCCTCCGTCCGTCGGGGGTGAGTGTACCCTTGGCACGGACGTCCTTGAGGACAGTCAGGAGGAGTTCCAGTGTCTGCCTGCTGCTTCACCTCATCTCGCGTCTGTACTGCTCACCCCTGAGGGAGACCCGGATGCACTAGACATCCCGACTCCGCGCTCTTACGCGGAGGCGATAGAGGGTCCCTACTCCTCTCAGTGGCAGGCAGCTATGGATGCAGAGATGGCTTCCTGGAAGTCCACAGGCACCTACGTTGACGCTGTCCCCCCTCCTGGGGCGAACATCGTCAATGGCATGTGGATTTTCAGGGTGAAGCGGCCGCCGGGTTCTCCGCCTGTCTTCAAGGCGCGTTACGTGGCTCGTGGCTTCAGTCAGCGGCAGGGGGTTGACTACTTTCAGACCTTCTCCCCCACCCCGAAGATGACCACTCTTCGGGTACTGCTGCACGTTGCTGCTCACCGTGACTACGAGCTGCACTCTCTCGACTTCAGCACAGCTTTCTTGCAGGGCAGCCCGCACGAGGAGATCTGGCTGCGTCGCCCACCTGGCTTCACTGGGTCTTTCCCTCCTGGTACTTAGTGGAGTCTCCGGCGTCCAGTCTACGGTCTCCGCCAGGCGCCACGTGAGTGGCACGACACACTGAGGACTACGCTTGCGGCACTTGGGTTTGCTCCTTCTACTGCCGACCCGTCGCTGTTTCTGCGCACCGACACCTCTCTGCCGCCGTTCTACATCTTCGTGTACGTCGACGACTTGGTCTTTGCCACTGCTGACACTGCTGGACTCGCCTACGTGAAGTCCGAGCTGCAGAAGAGACACACGTGCACAGACCTGGGTGAACTGCGCAGCTACCTTGGCTTGCAGATCACCCGGGACATAGCACGCCGCACCATTACCCTGACTCAGTCACACATGGTGCAGCAGGTCCTTCAGCGCTTCGGCTTCACGTTCTCCTCGCCTCAGGCCACTCCTCTACCTACTCGCCACTCGCTCTCAGCTCTGCCTTCGGATGAGTCCGTAGAGTCGAGTGGCCCGTATGCAGAGCTAGTTGGCTGCCTCATGTACCTGATGACTTGCACACGACCTGACCTTGCATACCCTCTTAGCATTCTCGCACGCTATGTTGCTCCTGGGAGACACCAACCAGAGCACATGGCTGCAGCGAAGAGGGTGTTGCGCTACTTGTGCAGTACGTCGGGCATGGGGCTAGTGCTTAGAGGGCGCAGTCCAGTGGTCCTCACTGGGCTCGCGGACGCTTCTTGGGCTGACGACCAGGCTAAGCAGCGGTCGTCACAGGGTTACACCTTCAGTCTTGGTTCTGGCTCTGTTTCGTGGCGGGCTACCCGCTCGTCTTCTGTTCTCGGCTCCAGTTGTGAGGCTGAGATCTACGCCGGGGCTATGGCTGCCCAGGAGCTTCGCTGGCTCACCTACCTGCTGACCGACCTTGGAGAGCCGCCTCGTTCTGCTCCAGTCCTGTACGTAGACAACAGGGCCATGCTGGCCTTGTGTCGAGAGCAGCGACAGGAGCACAGGACAAAGCACATTGCTCTCCGCTACTTTCTTTCTCGTGAGCTACAGCAGCGTGGACAGTTGCGACTTGCGTACGTGGCCTCTGAGGCCAACACTGCTGATGTCTTCACCAAGGCACTTGCGCCTTGTGATCATCAGCGCTGCTGCACGCAGCTGGGCTTTGTGCCTGTCTTGCCTCACTTGCTCACTTCTTGACCTTGCTTGTACCTTCACATATATATACTCTTGCTCTTGCTTGCTTGACTCTTGTATTCTCTATATGTGATCTTGCATGTGAACTGGCCTTCTGGCCTTTGAACTTGTGCTCGGAATGTGTGGTGACTTTGTGATCCACCCTGAGCTTTGCTTCATTTTACTTGACTGGTCTTGTGACCCCTTGTTCCCCCCCAGTTTGCCTATGGGGGTGTGTCAAAACATTATAGCTTACTTATTTGTATAGGCTATAGTGGGGTATCCCATAGGGGGTACAACCCAATTAGGGTTTCCTATTTGTACTCAGTTCGTTCATAGTCATTTCATTCTTGTTCTATCTTTCTCACAATCTGCTTTGTTCTGTGCTCCAGTCTCTGCTCCCGACACAAGGCCAACATGGCCTTGTTGTCGACGTACAGGACTGGAGGAGAACGAGGCGGCTCTCCAAGGTCGGTCAGCAGGTAGGTGAGCCAACGAAGCTCTTGAGCAGCCATGGCCCCTGCGTAGATCTCAGCCTCACAACTGGAGCCGAGAACAGAAGACGAGCGAGTAGCCCGCTACGAGACAGAGCCGGAACCAAGGCTGAAGGTGTAACCCTGTGACGACCGCTGCGTAGCCTGGTCGTCAGCCCAAGAAGCGTCTGCGTGTCCAGTGATCACCACTGGACTCCGCCCTCCAAGCACTAGCCCCATGCCCGACATACTGCACAAGTAGCGCAACACCCTCTTCGCTGGAGCCATGTGCTCTGGTCGGTGTCTCTCAGGAGCAACATAGCGTGCAAGAATGCTAAGAGGGTATGCAAGGTCAGGTCGTGTGTAGGTCATCAGGTACATGAGACAGCCAACAAGCTCTGGGTACGGGCCACTCGACTCTACGGACTCATCCGAAGGCAGAGCTGAGAGGGAGTGGCGAGTAGACAGAGGAGTGGCCTGAGGCGAGGAGTACGTGAAGCCGAAGCGCTGAAGGACCTGCTGCACCATGTGTGACTGAGTCAGGGTAATGGTGCGGCGTGCTCTGTCCCGGGTGATCTGCAAGCCAAGGTAGCTGCGCAGTTCACCCAGGTCTGTGCACGTGTGTCTCTTCTGCAGCTCGGACTTCACGTAGGCGAGTCCAGCAGTGTCAGCTGTGGCAAAGACCAAGTCGTCGACGTACACGAGGATGTAGAACGGCGGCAGAGAGGTGTCGGTGCGCAGAAACAGCGACGGGTCGGCAGTAGAAGGAGCGAACCCAAGAGCCGCAAGCGTAGTCCTCAGTGTGTCGTGCCACTCGCGTGGCGCCTGGCGGAGACCGTAGATTGGACGCCGGAGACTCCACTGGGTACCAGGAGGGAAAGACCCAGTGAAGCCAGGTGGGCGGCGCAGCCGGATCTCCTCGTGCAGGCTGCCTTGCAAGAAAGCTGTGCTGAAGTCGAGAGAGTGCAGCTCGTAGTCCCGGTGAGCAGCAACGTGCAGCAGTACCCGAAGAGTGGTCATCTTTGGGGTGGGGGAGAAGGTCTGAAAGTAGTCAACTCCCTGCCGCTGACTGAAGCCACGAGCCACGTAACGCGCCTTGAAGACAGGCGGAGAACCCGGCGGCCGCTTCACCCTGAAGATCCACATGCCACTGACGATGTTCGCCCCAGGAGGGGGGACAGCGTCAACGTAGGTGCCTGTGGACTTCTAGGAAGCCATCTCTGCATCCATAGCTGCCTGCCACTGAGAGGAGTAGGGACCCTCTATCGCCTCCGCGTAAGAGCGCGGAGTCGGGATGTCAAGTGCATCCGGGTCTCCCTCAGGGGTAAGCAGTACGGACACGAGATGAGGTGAAGCAGCGGCCAAGCACTGGAACTCCTCCTGCCTGTCCTCAAGGACGTCCGTGCCAAGGGCACACGCACCCCCGACGGACGGAGGACAGACAGACTCAGACTCAGCGACAAGACTCGCAGCGTAGTCTAGGCGACAGTGAGCAGCAAAGTCGACGAGCTCAGCAACTAGGGCAGACGCAGCAGAAGACTCGAAAGAAGGGTCAGTGACG